CTCTCTCTCTCTCTCTCTCTCTCTCTCTCTCTCTCTCTCTCTCTCTCGAGTCTCTCATTCGTCCCAGAATGCTGTGTAAAGAGATAGTTTGGCCCAAAAGCTGAAAAGTTGATTTTTTTTTTTAATTCTTAAAATCTGTAAAATGACCTTTACCTAGTAAAGAGAATAAAAGTCTCGAACTGTCTTTGCTAAAGTGACTTAGTTCACTGAAAGAGATGCAGTTCTCATTCCATTTCTCCTTTCTTCCACCGGATCCCCCAAACACAACAATTCACAGAACGTTTTTGTTCAATGACTATAATAAACTTACCCATCTTCAAACGGATCTTTATTATTTCGGTATTCGTCTTCATCGGAGGAATAAATCAGCCACTGAAGCTCCGCTATCCTCGTTACTGCTTTGCAAAACAGCTGGGAGATTGAGCGATATGTCCGTGCAGCTTTTCCTTCTTTGGTTGACTAAATAACAAGCAGATGGGCAGGTCCTTAGTTATTTCCTGAGTGTCCATTGGTTAGTTTATTTAAAAAAAAAAGAGAGGGACACACAAATCCACCAATCACGCACGCTAAGAGGCAGAGACGCTCTAGCGCCTGACTATAGAAACTTCCGAAAATTGAAGTCCTATTTTATGGGACGTTTGAATCCCATAAATTTTGAATTTTCCCAACTGCATTTAGGAGAAAACAAATCTGATCTGAGGTAGAATAGGACACAGCCAAGACTTTAGGAATTGTTTCTGTAATAGAAAGATAGGATTTCCCCTCTTCGAAAATAAGTTAAGATAGGACACAGTTAGGATATTTTTGTGTATGAGGCCCCTGTTCTCTGCCCTCCAGATGGAGTCACATGCGATCTTGCAAGAGAAAAAGACTCTGAAGCAAAGAGGCTACAGATTCCACCCGAACCCATGTCTGAACCCCGATCAGAGCCAATCGGAACCATTTCTGGGCTCTATTATCGCCATAGACATTGAGTAAACCACTTTAGACCTGCCAAACACAAGATGACAACTTGTCTGATTACTATCTTTTTGTTACTTGGCAATTAATAAAGGATTAAACAACAGGCTACTCGTGAAATGCCATTGAAATAGTGCTAATATGAACCTGCTCTGGCTTTGTACCAATGCAGTCTTGTACTGAATATAATTTGAGAGCACGGCATAAATTGTCAGCGTCCCTGATTTGGCAGCATTACCATGTCCTTCCTTCAGTATAGTGTATGTAGGCTGGTTTTAAATTTCACTTAGTGATGACAATATTACCGTAACTGACAAACACAATATATATTTTTGAAATTAAAATCTATTCGCTATCAGGAAATGATCTTCTTTAAATGCTAGTTTCGTTACTGTATGTCTTGTTTGTATGATGTTCATATTAAACATTATATTACATTATTTTTCTCCATATGTCAATACATTTGGATGGGCTTGATGGTGTGGCTGTATAGTTTGATTAAGCTTTTGCGGTGTTTTTGCTCATTACAATTTATAAAACTTGCAGTACGTGAAATTAACTTTGTTTCATGCATGCAATATTGAAAAGGGAGCTTGTCATATTGATGCAACGAGATTGGTTTTACACACAGCCTCTGCAACTTTTTCACTCACCCGATCAAAAAGTTACTTTGAGAACAAATTGTCTTAAAGGCTTTAAAGCTAATCATTCTGCATAGGAAATTCAATTCTAGCCTTGCTGGTCATTCTTAGCCATTAGTTAAAAACAGATTATCACGTAAATCATTAACAATGTGTTTACACTGTTTTTAAAGATTGAAAATATATATAGGTCAGTATCCGAACATGTTTTACAAGCTAATAATAAAAGTGAGAAATATGATCATAATAAAAACAAAATATCAATTTGCAAATTGATTATACAACACAAGTTGGATATTGATATCCCCCCTCTCCCCCATCTAGTACCGCATCTCTGGGTCCCACAATATGCTGTTGCCATGGAAGCACATACAGAGGGAATGAGAGGAGCTGAGAGAGGTACTAAATGTATCATCACATCACAAGCAGAATCTCAGCGGCAGAGCTGCACTCGCTGATGCTGCTGTGGAGCGGCAGTGAGGTGGCTGCATGGAGGGGGCGACCATTCCTGTCTGTGATTAGTGACCACGCGAATGCTCGGAGAAGGGGACAGAACAGGGCGGGCTCTCTGTAGGAAGAGGAGGAGGACGAGGATGCGTTGCCTCTACACAATTGGAGGCAGCAGGGAGTGAAGCAGCATCTGTATGAGGCGAGAGAAAGAACCTGCATGGAAATGGAGGAGCGCTAGAGCAGCACTGTCGTCAAGACTCCCACCGCCTCCACCACTGCTGCCGCTCTGGATTGTGTTTTAATGGAAGACACTCAAAGCAGGTATGTATACAGCATCTACATGCTTACTGTGTAAAATGTAACAATTACCTCGGAGAGGGTCAGGGTAAAGGTGTGATGAATGCTGTTTGTTATTTAGTGTGGACAACATCAGGATGTTTATCTTACACAGCCGATTCACTGGAATCAGTTACTGTGATTGCATAGCTTTACCAAAAGAGAGCAGTGATGGCTGCCTTGGGATTTGAACCCCAAGGCATGATCATCTTAATAGCTCACATGTGTGCCCATTGTACACGAAAGCTACACTTTTTCATTCTTAACCCCTGTTTTTAATATTTATTTTCCAGCTCTGTGCTGCCCGAGGGACCAGCTGTGTTGATCCAGTGCCACCTCTGATATGATGCCGAGAGCAGGAGGGGCAGCCACCTCTCTCGCACTGCTGCTGCTGCTGCCATTGCTGTGCTGCTGCCACCTGTGCCACTCGCTGCGTAAGTTTCCCAAGGACTGGGGAATGCCTCATCACATCACCGTGGTAGAATGTAATAGCCTCAGTGTGACAGATGGCAAAGTCAAAGATAAGTTGGACTCAAGTGGATAGAATCAGAGAGAGAAGATTGGCAGATGGTGAGTGGAGCGTGAAGAGAGCCTGCCAAGTAAAACTAAAAATATCAGTGCGACCACTTACCTCATAACATCAATTTTTACTGTTTTTCTGGTCGTTAGATTTCCATTTTTTGGTGATCAATCATTGAACTCAGTTATTGAACAAGCAGCACATTTCTAATAACTAAAAGATAGAAGCCCAATAAATAAAAATGGGAATAGATTTGTCTCCTTATACATTTTAGATATCCTCTGGCTGACATTGTTGGGATTTACGAATAAGATAAATTTGTATTTGCTGCATGAACCAGGAAAACAGTAGGCTTCAGGTCATGTTGGATAGAGGGGAAATATTCCCATGGTTACGACTTGGGAGCATTCATATCACAGGACAACTAGGGACAGTTGTGTAATGGTTTGTTGTTAGAGTACAGCACTGTGTGCATGTATTGGCTTCATTTCTGGGCCCTTCTGGAAAATGCAATGTGTATGAGGCTTGCAGGTGGTCGTCAAAAAGCAGAATAATGGTCATCAGAACTGGGACGACAACAGAAATGAACAACAGAATATAATTTGTTCGGCTTAAGTAATGAGGTAACTGATAGCTGTCCTTTCTTCTGTGCATACTGAGGTGAATCCAGCTCAGCTGGATAGATGACCGGGTCAGGTGATGAGCTGGGGCAGTAAACTCTGTAATGAGTTTGTGGGCAGGTGAGGAACAGCCGGTGAGGAAGGATGAGAGAGGTTATTACAGTATGCACAACATAGAGATCAACTGCTAGAATGCACTAGCAGGAGAAGAGGGAAGAGACAGGAGCCGCTGTTGCCATGACAGCATGTATATATTTGTGTGTGTGTGCATGTATCAAACAGTGTACTTGTATACATGTACACAGTATGTTTATGAATATGTTCGTATGTGTATAGCCTTTATGGGTTTCTTTGCCTTCTGCTATCCAATCTATTGGTTTCTCCTTTTGTCTTTCTGTTATTGATGTTTTGCATATTTGGCCAGTTCTAGCAACTTGTCATCTTCGTTTGATCTCACTGTAGTCCTCACCATCTGTAGCACACCACACATCATATACTCCATGTTTAGTTTATATTGATTTAGTTTTTGTGCCCGCTGCACCTATCAGACAGCGTTGACTCGGTCTCCTTGAAAATGAGTTATTAGATATTAATTTTACTCAGCATGAGATGCAAATGAACATATCCTTTACCTCGTGTCACATACATTATATTTGTGTATTAGTTCATTTCTTAACTCTGCAGCATGCTTTTCAGTGGAGCAAGATGCTGGTAATAGTGGGGGAGAGGGTCAACAGATGATGAATTTGCCTATCACACAGTCATTGATTGAGGGTGTTGCAGCCTTGTCTTTATTGATCCACGCACACTGAGAGGGTGACACCACCATACGTTTGTTGTCAGCCTTGTGGTAGATCTCCAGCCACATTCTCCATCCATAAATTGAGTTTATAACCATGATGGGGAATGATTTAAAGAGCAGGGTGAATAGAAATAGTCTGTAATTCAAAATGTGATCAATATTTTCTACACTGCCGGGGAGCTCTGCTTCAGTAAAGCAATGCACCAGTGTGACGATGATTAAAACAGTGTCCCTGTAATATAAAACAGGTCAGTTACCCTCATCTTGTAACTGCACATAATGTCATAACTATGTCTTTTATGGTTTTATGAATACACGGATGGAAAAATACAGTTTTTATAGATTTAAAGGGGGCAAAGGAAGCTCATACTGAATTAAAGCAATATAGTAGTCAAGTCATTACATACACTTAATCTCCCAAGATTCATTGGTAAGCAGTGAGTTTTTACAATAAAAAAACATGCACCTTGATTTGAGAGTGCATACACTCTTTACAATCACTGACACATATGAGTCAGAGAGCAAAGAAGGCATATCTGTTTCTTAAGGACATGCTGTAAATGTGATTGGGCTATATCTCTCATTCAGGCTTTCATACATTACATGCTATAAGGACTCTTAACACCATTGCATATTCAGTGTGTGTTTGGGTCAAAGCATAGTTTCTCTGCCTCTTGAAACCAAAGCCTTACCATGGAGGTCATATCCAGAAACAGCAGATGACATAACCACTGTAGTAAGGTCAGAGAGGTGAATGCAGTGCTGTATGAGAGCAATGCTCGAAACAGAGCTGGAAATGGATTCTTCATCAAGCATAGGGCGACTGTATATATCAAAGCTGCTGTTATATTTGCTCGAAGGAAGTAAGCATAAATCTGTAATTTTTCTATTTTATTTATTTCATTCATGTTTAGGGGTTCCAAAACTCTCCTCTTTTGCAAAAGCAGAGGACAAGCTGTTCAAATACCTCTTTGGAAACTACCAGAAATGGGTCCGTCCAGTGGAATACCTAAACCAGACGATCAGTGTGAAGTTTGGACTTGCCATCTCCCAGTTAGTTGATGTGGTGAGGAAAAAACCCGCTGTTAATTGATATTGTTATTAATGTATGTGTGTCACTGAGGCATTAACCACATCCCATGAATGGTCATTGAACAGTACGGTTGAGAGACAAAATCGTATTTAAATTGTTTCAACTTGGCTACTTTTTAAATAGAAATTTTAACATTTGTTTTTTCACTGCTCTAGGATGAGAAAAATCAGCGAATGACAACCAATGTGTGGATGAAACAGGCAAGTAGAGCTACACATCTCACCTAAACATTACATTTCACCATCATCAGTAAACATGCAGGTAAAGTTGTCAGGTTATGACCTTCAGTGTTTACTTTATTCTAAAACATACTCTGGCATTACATGGCATTTTGAGGCAACCAGTCACCCTTTCTTAATCTGGTCTGGTGGCATCTCACTGACGGTCCTCATTTATATGAGTCCTTTCGGCCCTGTGGCCACGCACCTGCCTCCACAAGCTGCCCCTCTCTGCTCCTGCTCCTGTCAGCCTTATTCATGGTCTCGGATGTCCTGTCTTTCTTGTATCTTTTGAGTTATCCCCACAGTCCACGCTATGCCATTTGGGTCAGTTGCTCCCTTTCACATTGATGGATTGTATCATGCAAAAGGGGTGACGGAAGGGCAATGGCCCCAGTACTGATGTCTATCTATCAAACATATAATTTGCAAAGTACGTCAGATTTAGTCATTGTATCTGCTTTGTTTGGCTTTAATCGTACAGTGGTTTACCATCCAGATTATGCTTTCACAAGGTATTTACAATGTAGCATATCTAAGCCAAATCAAATAGATCTGCTCGTTAGAACCCTAACAGCAAATTGTGCTATCTTTACTTACCATGTACCCATCCCTGTGGCCTGGAGCTGGGAAAAATGTTGTATGCAAGCATAACATTACAGAACACTAAGTATACTACCTTCAAGGAAAAGTTTTATGTTGTGAAAAAAACATGTTTATTGGCTTTCTTGCAAAAAAGTCTGTACAGTAAATATGAAGCAACCCGGTTAGCTTAGCTTGGCTATCCAAATGTAACAAAATTCACCTACCACCACCTCTAAATCCAAGCGGCAACCTTTGGTGCTGAAAAATGATAATCTAATAATAAACTTCAAGTTAGGTATATTTGAGGGTGTGGCTGCTTTGAGTGACAGCTGGGTGCCATCCCATCATGCTAGCTGTCTCCTCTTCCGTATCACCCAGGCAAGCCTCAGCTCCACCGATGATCCAACTCTTTGCCCATTTTTGTAGTAGCTTGAAATTAGGCTGTGTTGTCACTGCCAAGGTGGAGACCCACTCTGAGTTTCACAAAGGCTCTTCAGGAATATGTAGGTTACGTCACAGAGATTATGTCCATATTTTATACAGTCTATTGCTAAAGCTCACTAATTAAGACATTGTAAACCGGTGCCTAATAGTGATTTTTCATCTGTACACTTGGGTTTTTGTATGGATTAAACAAATGACATACAAAGTGTTGATTAGAGTTGCTGGTGTGGAGGTTTTGTTACCAAGGAGCCGGGCTTGCTCGCCCCCCGCTCCTCTAAGCTAAGATAGCCGGCTGCTGGCTGTTGCTTCTTAGAGACAGACAGATGATTGTTATCAAAAATTATCATTTTGACTGTGGAAATAAAATGTCAAACCTTTCCTGTTAAAGTCCCTTTGATGAGTTCTTACCACGTTTTTCCTTCTTAAGTAGGAGTGGATTGACCGCAAACTCAGATGGAACCCTGATGACTATCTGGGCATCACAACTATCCGAGTCCCTTCTAACAGGATCTGGCTCCCTGACGTTGTACTGTATGATAAGTATGTGTCATTATATATGGAAGGAAAAGATGATTATATTTTCCAAAATGTACATGATAGTCATGACCATACTGATATCCTGACAGCACTCTATCATTAAAAGTCTTGGTAGTATTTTAAAGGACCAGAGAAAAAAAATCTAAAACTTAATATTTGAATTTAGATTTTAGAAAATCCTTAAAAGAAACTTGCAGCTATATGCATGAAGTAGACGTTCTAACAATCAACTAATCTGCTATCAGTGAATATTTTAGATGAATAAATGATATTTCTTTCAACAGTTCAGATGGGCGTTTTGAAGGTACTGTCACCAAGGCAGTTGTTAAGTACGATGGAACCATATTATGGACAACACCAGCCAATTACAAGTCAGCCTGCACCATTGATGTCACCTTCTTCCCTTTTGACCTCCAAAACTGTTCAATGAAGTTTGGCTCCTGGACATATGATGGCTCCCAGGTGAGTCTCCACTCCATAGTACATTAGCGTTAGTCATGACCAGTGGTTGACACGAGATTTAACTCTGTGTTTAACAGGTGGACATAACTTTGGAGGACTTCCATGTGGACAAGCAGGACTATTTTGATAACGGTGAATGGGAGATAGTGAAGGCCACAGGCAGCCGTGGTCTGAGGACAGACAGCAGCTCTACCTTTCCCACCATCACCTACTTCTTCATCATTCGCAGGTTGCCTCTTTTCTACACCCTCTTCCTCATCATCCCCTGCATTGGCCTGTCCTTCCTCACCATCCTCGTCTTCTATCTGCCTTCTAACAGTGGCGAAAAGATCTCTCTCTGCACCTCAGTCCTGGTGTCCCTCACAGTTTTCCTCCTGGTCATTGAGGAGATAATTCCTTCCTCCTCGAAGGCTATCCCTCTCATCGGGGAGTACCTGGTCTTCACTATGATCTTCGTCACGCTTTCCATCATCATCACCGTCTTTGCCATCAACATCCACCATCGCTCCTCTTCAACACATCATGACATGGCACCCTGGGTGAGGAGGATCTTCCTGCATCGACTGCCTAAGCTGCTGTGCATGCGCAGCCATGCCGACCGTTACGCCACAGCTGGAGTAGCCAGAACGAGAGGAGCAGCAGGACTGGGCAAGATGAAGGACTCAACACCTGAACTGACATCTCTGCTCTACACCAGACATAACCTACAAGCAGCTTTGGATTCTATTCGCTACATAGCTATGCATGTGGTGAAAGAAAACAAGGTCAGAGAGGTGAGTTAGATGTTGTGCATTTGTAACTCCATAGGTAATAATAGCAATAGTGGTACTAACAATAATTTTTGGCCCCACGCTTTCACTGATACAGAATTAAACAAATCATGACTTAATAAACCTTGCAAGATTGAATACTGTATGTTGCTCACTCACCACTTCTTAGATTATTGAAATCTGGCTTTTAACTATTGAGTATAGAGACTGACATCTGCTTATTTGTTGTTCCAGGTGGTTCAAGACTGGAAATATGTAGCCCAAGTCCTGGATCGAATGTTTCTTTGGGCCTTCCTCCTGGTGTCGATCCTGGGCTCTGCTCTCCTCTTCATCCCCGTTATTTACAAATGGGCCAGCATCATCGTCCCTAATCATGCTGGAAGTACCCTCTAAAAACCACAGTTCAACTAACCACAAATGGAGGCAAAGCACATTAACAGCTCGTTATGGGTCTTATTTGAGATTTGAAAGACTGAGATACTGTGATTACCACTCCGATAGAGTCCTGCTCTGCTTATCCACAGTTATTCTGCAAGCCACAGCCGTGCCAGAGATCAAGCTGCAGATGTGGGACCTTGTTTGCTGAGTGTATCTTACAGAGACATGTTTTTTGTTTGTTTGTTTTAGATAGATTTTGAACTCTGTATTTCTGAGTTTAAAGATGAATGCATCGATCAATTGAAATATCATGATACGAAAAATCTTCCACGTCCCATTTGTTTTGTCCACATCTCACATATCAATACATTTCAATGCATTCCTTTCACCTACTACACTTGCTGGTGTGATAGGGAAGGGAGATTTATCTTTGGGTCTGTTAGAGATCCATAGATACAAAATGACAAGACGACATGTCCTCACAGGATCCTTTTGGATAAATGCCCCACTAATGGCTCTTGTGTTTAGACAAGTTGCAGGACACAATGTATGTATCGATTCAGTTTCATTCAATTTAATTCATTTCAATACACCTTTATTTATCTCAGTGAGGGAATTATATGGCAGCTCGCTAACAAGATTGACAGATACACACACACAATAGATCTTCTCATTTCTCATTTAAAACATCGGTCTATGTCTGCATACCATTTGGAACGAGGACCACTTTATCTCATTGGCATAATTCAAGTAACGGCGATGGTTCAACTTAGCTTTTCTGTAATTCTAGTTTCACATATGGTTACAAGGTTAACGTTATGTGATAAAGAACAAGAGAATAGAGCCACATATTCCTTCTTATAAAAGACCTATATGCCTGAATTCATCTTCCTGTGTACATTCAGAAGACCACAGCTACATGAACACGATCTATAGATCACAATTCAGAGTAGTCATGCAGGTAAGACATTCCTCTTTAAGGACAAGTATGGTTTAATAGTTTCTCTGTTCATTCTGCTTGACTATGCGTGGGAAGGACAGGTGGACTGTCTTGCCCAGACTTGAGTTTCTCTGGCAGCCCTTCCTTTTAGCCTGAGGACAAATCCCACATTCTTTATGAAGACTGCAATACGCTCCATAGCAACAGATCAGTGTAGAGGCACTGTGGGTCCTGGATGTTTTTAGCCTACGGTAGCTTAGCACAAAACCTAGCTCCAGTGGAAAAATGGTTCTTATAACAACTCCAAATCTGTGTTGTTATTTGATTGATGTTTCATGCGGATACCTCACATGGTGTACTATGGAGATTTGTAATTAAGGGCCTAAGGTTCACTACACCAATTCCTCAAAGCACCAGGAAGACTGTCTGTTCCCCAACAGCTGAGGAGCTTAGCCATTGCTTGAGCCTGCACTGCCTCTGTGTGGCTTATATTATAAGGCAGTCCTGGACAGCTGCTGTTAGACTCTGCTTTTAGTCAGTATCATTGGCTACTGAGAAGTTTTGATATAAGGCACACTAAATTATTTGGACTATCTTGGCTCTCTCCAAAAGGATTAAAGGCTTTAGGTTTTTTGTATAATCACACCCTTGAAAATCCTCCTCTAAGAAGAGCATGATATTGACTATATACTGTATATGAAACACTGAGGGGCAAAATGCTACTTAGAATAAGAAAAATTCACAACAGAATTCACACAGGGAGTAAAAGAAAGAGGTTGGCTGACAATGGTGTCGCTCATAATTTAGGTTCCGGAAAATAATCACCCACCACTGACGTGACTGTTCAAATCACAAATAGTGCAGTAGTTCCAGAAAACTGTATTGCCGAGTTTGGCTTGACATGGTTTCTGAAATAGGAAGAATAAACAAAAGACAAACCGTTAAACCTAATCATTGTAAATAACATGGCATGCACCGCTAAGCTTAGCACAGCCACAAGGTGGAACCATTAGGGCCACAATGGTGACAGCTACCTACACTAAATCATCCCATTTCAGAGAATAGCTAACAGTTAGCAGCAAATAACTACCAAGACATTTAATTGTATAACCGACAGGTAGGACAGCAAGACTACAGACTGAATAAAACAAATATTAACCTGTGGACATAATACCTGACGAAGCTTACAGGCTTACAGACTATGAATTCAACAATACATTGGGACCAAACAGAGGCCCATTGAATGTAGTACCATTAAGCACAAGCTCTACACAGGTGGAAGCTAACACAGCAGTGACTCAATTGCTCATTAAGTGAGCCTATTAGTACGTAGAGCAGTAACAGAAATGAAACTGAAGTATAATCACCAAAACAAGGATTAATACTGCACATACGCCATAGCAATATGTAACGTAATGTACTTAATGGAGGCACGCAACAGTCAAATAAAGGAAATAACACCCGTTTTGGGCTTAATTGGCCTAACTACTAGAACTCAGAAAAAACTCTCCCATTGCCTTCCTGAACCTGAACCTGACGAAACATACCACTCTAAAGGGGGAGGTGGAACATACCACTCTAAGAGGGGAATAGTCCAAGTGATGTGGCCCTTGTAACAGGGAGGTACAAATAAGTAGCTGTAACCCATTTTTGCCCATAGCTTCAACAAAGAGGCCACATTGTTGTCCATTTGTGAAGAAAAGCCCAAAGAAAAGCTTATCCATAATCCACATATGTAAGCTCCCCTGGAATGTGTAGTTAAGTATTCAGTGGTTCCTTTGGTGTTTCACACTAACTTCTAAGCACTTGCTTGCTCGGAGCTACTTCACGTTAAACAGGTATGTTACACATCAATTTTGCATGTAATTTAAAGAATTTCCTTTTTTAAGGGAGAACTTTAATGTAAATAATACTTTATTCAATTGTATTTTATGGCGTTTTTAGCCAGATTTCTTTAACAGAGTGATTATTAATTATGTTTTATCTATGCTTTCCCTTCAGGTCAAAGATGCCCCCCCTCAGATATGCAACTTCTCTTCTCCTATTATCTATCATGTTTTTGTCATGGAGAATTTGTCATGGACGAAAGATTTTAATTGTTCCTTTAGAGGGAAGCCACTGGGTGAACATGGACATCATGATCAAAGCTCTCCACTCTCGAGGACACTCTATTGATGTGGTACGAACCAGTAAAAGCTGGTATATCCAGGATGACTCTCCGTGCTACAAGACAATCACAGTTCCTATCTCTGAAGCCTTTAATCACGACTTTATTAACCCGATCCTGAAGAAGGTCATTGACATAGAAAGGGGGGAGAGCTCAGTTTTGAGCTTTGCAAGTTTGCAGGCTGAGATGTTTTCTGCGATGTTTAACATGCATAGAATAATGTGCAAAATGGCTACTAACATGTTTGAAGATGAAGACTTAATGAATACTTTAAAGGACAGAAAGTATGACCTGGTCCTAACAGATCCGGCATGGGGTGCAGGCATAATGTTGGCTCATGCTCTTAAGCTGCCTCTGGTCTATAATGTGCGGTGGATAACTAGCGGAGAGGGACATATGGCCATTGCGCCATCTCCTTTATCTTATGTCCCATTGACCGGCTCAGGACTGTCAGACAAAATGACTTTCATTCAAAGAGTCAAAAATCACCTTTTTTCTCTCATTTGGCAAGCTCAGGATGGATTTTTTATCCATCCACAGTATCAAGCTGTTTGTGACCAGTTCTTTGGCCCAGAGGTCAGATATATTGACTTATTGCAGGGAGCAGACCTGTGGCTGATGAGAGTGGACTTTGTGTTTGAGTTCCCTCGTCCCACCATGCCTAA